CTCGGGACTGAGCTAAGTAGTGCATTTAAAAAGGGTATGCATTTATATAGGGTGCATTTATAGAGAGTTGACTGTATTTTGCGTAACTGATTAAGGATCAATCTGCGCGATAATCGATTTCATTATATACCTTTCCTTTCTTTCGTTTCTTTCGGGACAAGTTGTGAAACCAACCATTGCACAAAAAAAATCATAAATAGTATGTCTTCGACATCGGCTTCTACATCTGCTTCAACTAATGTCCGCCAAGAATTTAACCGCCTCTCCCTCGTGGAATCTGGAATCACGGAGGATGAATTTGGTGATTTACTGGCTTATATCACCAACAACCCTAACAAGATACCTAATCTGGAAGAATCCCTAAAGTACGGCACTGATAACGTTAAGGTTAAATATCTGAGGAGATTATTAGCTTCTGGTATGTTTCACATAATCTAACTTCGTTATTTTTGCGCTGTGTCATTTTTCGTCTTCTGTCATAATACCGAATACTTACTTATTCTTGTGCTTTTCTTTCCTGCTTCTTATTGTCAAACCCGCCCAAAAATACATTCACGTTATCGTAGAGAAACCCGTTGCTGTTGGTAAGTGAGTCGTAATAATTTTGGTTAACGCGAGATGACTTAACCACGGTTTCACTTCGCCTGGATTGTATCATATTAAACATTTATTTTTTCCCTATCATTTCATCTCCTAATTCTCGCTTTTCTTTTTCACATTACAAGAACTTACCGAGCAAGAACTTCTCCGAACAGTTCTTTCTGTTCCTAAAATTCATTCGATTAAGACAAAATCTACAACAAAAGCGGCAACAAGAAAAAGCCCTAAAATGCCGGTTCTGGCATGGGATGATTTTCTTAATAATGCCTTTTATGCATCAACAGCTCTTGACACAGGCAATCGTATATTTAGCAGGTCTAACGTCACTGGGGCTTTATCTGTCGAAGATTCTGTTGTTGACATGTTCTTGAAAACGATGGAAGCTACCAACAATCAGAGATTAATTCTTTTGCCAACGCCAGAACGTTGGAGTAAGCGTTATGTATGTCGGGCTGTCAAAGGCCAACCAGATGCTATACGCTGTGGTGCTGGTAACATACAGCTTTTGAATGACTTGGATGCCTCTCTGATACTTTCAGCAGTTGAAGTTAAACCTGAACAGTTGATGAAGACTTTGGTAGCTGATGGAACCGAATTGTTTAATGCATATAACACAGCATTAACAACAGAAGATGATGGAACAACCGCGTACACTCGACATCAAAAAATTATCAGAATCGTTAGGCAACTTTTTGGATATATGGTCGTTAATGACCTCAAATATGGCCTTCTTACAACATATATTCGAACATGGTTTTTTTATCGTCAGGATGAAGACCCGGACAATCTTTACATTTCTCCGACAGTTCATATCAATCAAAGTCACACAAGTGATAGTGCATCGTTCCTTGAATGTATGTACTATTTTGAAAATATATCTACAACAAATCCAACTGCACATTCTTCACCACCTAATACTGATGGTGGGAATGATAATGATGATAAAATCGATGATGGTGAAGACGAAAATGATAAAGATAAGGACAAAGGTGATAAAGATAAGGACAAAGGTGATAAAGATAAGGGTAAAGGCGGAGACAATGATGAATATCGGCCATCAAGTTCTAAGAGGAGTGTCTTGAGGAGGACTTTTGGAAGAATCACTCGCAGCCAATCAAAAAAAGGAAAAGACAAACTAAATGATAATGAATTTCTCAATAGTATGAAAAATTATAAACGTAGCCAATTCTCATTTGGCGATGTGTTGGGAAATGGTCGTTCTGGAGTTATTTTTATGACCAAGCTTCACGAACAAGTAGGCGCTCTTAAAATGGTCGATCTATATAAAAAAGAGTATTTGTTACAGGAAATCCTAAATGAACTTAAAATGTACCTTGGACCTCTCAAGGGAATTCAAGGCATCTACATACCAAAGCTTCTTAAATATGGGGTTCTCCACGAGGCATTTGTATTTATTCTTACATCGTTTGCCGGAGAGTCTTTTGCAAATAATAGAAGTATCACAGAAAAAGAAAAGCAGTTGGCCATTAATGGTTTAATGGAAATACACGCAAAAGGAGTGAAACATGGTGATATTAGATTAGAAAATATAATGATGAAAAGGAATGAGTTAACGGGTCATTCTTATGTGTGGTGGATTGATTTTGCGTGGAGCAAAATGATAAATAATACAGAAGATCTGGACGCGGAATTATCCGAATTGAAACACTTGCTTGGCATGTGTTAAAGTTAAGATTTACCTTAATTAATATTGCATTAAAATCACTATTATCTTATTATCTTTTAGGAAACAGAGAGTAGGAAAAACTATATATAATGGGTGAATTTGTTTTTTTTCAATTATGCTAGTAACTTACTGCGTTAGTATTATTTAATAATACTGCCTTAATTCATGTACTAATTAATTATACACACTGCACATGTGATTTCCTCTTAATATTAATAAAAAAAAAAGCCTCGGGGTTATACTTTGCTATTTTCATTTCGAAAAACATAATATAATATTATATTCTAAGCAAGGATTGGTTAATTATGATCTGTTTAGTGAGTTGGGCCAATAGGATCAAACAAATTAAGCAAATTCAAACTTTATCGCAAATGTATCTTTTCGTAAGAAACATTTACTATGCTAGTCATATGATATTTTGATAATGTCAATAAAGTTTCGCCCATGGTTTTGCATATATTTTTTATATATATATTGGTATTGTAATGCATTAGAATAAAAATTGTTCGATGCTGAGAAAAAATATGTACAGTACTGCGCCATTAAATAATTTAGAATTAGTCCGGAAGATTATTAGTAAAATTCTTGCCGAAGAATAGGGGCTTTGCGACGTGCGAATCGCATATACATTCGCATTATTTTTTCTAAGACACGATTTTTCGCACGTATTAATAAAAATTTTTCAGAACATTGAATAATCTTCCTCTTGTATAAAATTATCGTGTCATCGGAGCTTGAATTATTGAGACGCCTTCTTATGTGGATTAATTCACTTAAAACTCATTCCTTCCTCGGGATCGGCCAGTGCTTCCAAAAACAAATTGTGTTCCATCGGAACAAATTCAGTAGATTCGGAAAATATATCGAATTGTTCATTCTTTTCTCGCTCAGAATATTCAGAAGGCGCCTGGTGAACTCCCTAAGAACAATATTACGATGACGAGCAAATCGGGCTTGAAGAAGTTCATCCCATGCTTCTCTTCCAAAATGGGCTATATAATCATGTCCGGGTCTCCGTGGTTCGGTATAATAGCACCTGATCGTATAAGAACCATTATTTTACTGAATTAGATTGAGTTTTTACCTTCGAATACGAACACTCTTGCGAGTCTTTTTAGTATGCTCAACTATTTATTAGAGCTAATTATTTCAAGTTCAGAATTAAAGAAAATATGGGAGGCTTGCTAGGAAAAAGGGACTCTGAGATTATTTTCTATTTTTGCATTAATATGATAAACAAAATTTAATGTCCCGTGCCCATCTTCTTGCGACGATGGGCTAGATAGATTCTTGCGAACGGACAAACTGTTACCCTGTCCTAAGCCATTTTCTTGCGACAATGGTTAAGTCTTGCGACGGACAGGGCCAAAATTTCAAGCTTCAACTTATCTAATATTTTCCATTATTATTTATTAGCACATGAACCCACTAAAATCAAAGATCAAGCACAAGTCGGAACCAGTTAAGACTCATAGGCTTGGTTAAAGTCTGTATTCTCTAATAACTCTTCCCTTAACCAAAAGCCCGCATTAGATCGGTAAAAATTTACGCATCTATACAATCTACTATTTAATTACAGGTATCCACGCAGTAACTATTTCAAAAATTTTAGTGACCAAGGTAATTATCATATATAATACCAGACTTATGCAATTTTTTTTGGCGTGTATTTACAAGAAAATGACTTCAAGGCTTGCAAACTAATGACCGTTTCTTTCGCACAGATTTTTGAAGACCTTACCAGCATCACGGAATGCAAAAAACATAAAATTTCGGCGTAACAGTAAGATTACCTATTAATTTATTTTCCGACACTCAGACACTAAGTATAACTGGGCAACCGTTTTTGTTTTATCCAGAATATCGATGTTTGAGACAATGAAACCGGATCATGGAGTTGGATAGTGTGTATTAGTAGTGTAGGCAAGCGAAAAATTGGTGTGATCTGCAGGAATTAGCATAGAAACTCTATTTCACTTTGTAAAACTAGTCTATATATTACCGAATCTTGTAATTTATCTTTTACATCAATAAATCAGTAATTCCGATCGTGACATTTTGTCACGTTTTTTTTATCTATGCTAACGAACTTTTGAATTATTCCATCTTATATAAAAAAATTATTATCGAACATGCAATCCATTGATTCATTGAGAGAATTAAATTTCAAGCTCTTAGCTGAGATTGCCGAGCTTAGAAAGAAGAACAATAAGATTCTTGTACTTGAAAAGGAATTTGCTGAAGTTGAGGCTGAGAATGCGAGGTTGAAGCAAATTATTGAAGAGAATGCAAGGCGTGATGCTGAGAATGCTGAACTCAAGTCTAGAGTTGGAGAGCTTGAGGCTAGACTTGTATTATTAGAACAAGGTTCAGCAGTGGATGGGATGGTGTTGTCATTTGGCCAGACACAAAATGATGAAGAAGCGATGCGAGTGGTGATGGTACCAACTGTTGATGAACCCGATTCTGTAATAGACCAGCATAGCGGGCTTTGGCTAATTATACACTAATATGATTGGCCAATAACCATTTATGTGACTATTTGTTCTAATAAAAAATTTAAAAAAAAATTTTAATTTTTTAAGTCTGAAATCATTAATAATTATGTGAAAATATTATGTAAAAGGACCAAATTATCTTTAACATGTGAAAAATATATTAAAATATTTTTTTATTAAATTATATTAATATAAAATACATTTAGATATTTATCTAAATTACAGTTCATTATTAGTTATTTGGTTTAAAAAATTTAAATCAATAAAGTTAAAACATGAAAGAATAGTTATACATTATCTATTATTTATTATAAATAATCCAACCTTGTGTAAATAAATAAAATAAGATCTGGCTTTATATCTACCTTCTATGCTTTCCTCATCATCATAATCTAAACTGCATAATGGATATAATGTCTTGTCAGTAATGCTATAATAATCAAAATTTTTACTACTAAATTCTCTATATAAAGTGGGAAAATAGGTTTGGTTATAACTTGGATTATATTGACTGAAGGAAGATGCAGATAATATATTTGTTGATGTATTTACAGCCTTAATCTGATTTTTGAAAAAAAGTTTTCAAAGTCACATGACTCTGATCATGAAGAATCTTCACAGTTTCATTATATGAACTTATTACTGAATTCACATAATCTATAATATTTTGTATTTGTGAGTAATTGAGACTCGAAATAGCATCAGCACTATAAAAGACCTGTTTAATTTTCTCTATTTCTAATGTACTGAATAATTTATATAATTTTCTAACTCTAAAGATTTTTTAACGCAAATTCACATTTGTTATTTCAGGTAGATGCTGTTTGATTTCTTGATATACCATAGATGTTACAGTTTTTTTTTTAACTCCACCAGCAACAAGGTTATCAATCCTTTTATCATATTTTTCTATAAAGTAGCACTAGTATAAAATTACTTCTTAACCAAGTTTATTAGCTTTCTTGAATATGCAAACTATATTTTATGTGGTATCTGAAGATAGATCCTGTTCTCTTGAAGTTTAATCTGATGTAGATGTATGTGCAAGTAATGATAACTGTTATTTTAACTCCTGTTTCACAATTATATTTTTATCCAATTTGGCAATAACTTCATTATGCAAATCGGATTTAAGTTCCTCCATATCACATGACTCTGATCATGAAGAATCTTCACGATTTTTAAGATTACATATTAATTTGAATACATTAACTTGCAATTGCTTCAATAAGATATAAGATGAGGATCTTATGCTTTCAGAACTAACCTCATAAGATTGTGATAAGTCTTGCTTGTTTTGCTCTAAAATTAATATGTCTGTGACTTCAAGAATTTTAGTCATATTTTGAGAAATTACAGGTATCTCTTGATCTCTCTGCTTCTTTTCCTACCTCTTCTCTCTAATCTCATTGCTAATACTTTTCTTATATGCTTCATCTAAGAAATCAACCATCTTCTCATTATTATCATCAAGGTCACTAGGTACTCATCTTACTTTATTATTGAGTTAGTCTATTAAACATAGCAGGCTTAAGCCTGATTGATTGATTTTAAAATGATCTTCACATATTAAATTCATATAAAAAAGATGATCATCAATCTTTAAATGGATTCGCAGCCACAGGGATAAATTCGCAAAGGTTGTGATAAAAAATTTTTAAAGTATACCTTCTGTTTTATAAACTGTTAAAGTAATTTGGTAAAAAGCAAGGTAATTCAGAATTTAGCTAATAAGGGTTTCTTTGCAATATGTTATTTTATATGTATATATAGTATATAAAGAGAGAGAAAAAGAGATTGAGATTTGAAATTATATATTGGTATATATTTTTAACACTTATTTATTGGATTATTTTTAATAAATAATAGATAATGTACAATTATTCTTTCATATTTTAACTTTATTGTATAATTTGATTTAAATTTTTAACTAATAATGAATTGTAATTTAGATTAAAGCTCTGAACAGTTCAGTTCAGTCTGGATTAGATGCCAATCTGTATCTGAACCGAAAATTTCAGTTCAGTTCAGTTCAGATTATTAATCTTAAAAATGCCAATCTGAATCTGAATGGAATCGCAGACCGGTAAAAATCTGAACTAAACTGGAATTTTCAGATTAATCTGAAATTACAGTTCAATTATATAAGAAATCTGCAATTTATATGTGAAACTTTAGGAGAATTGCAAAAATTTGCGATTCTCCAAAGGTTTTGCAATTTTTTTGTGAAATTCAAAGAGAAATCACAATTATTTGCAACTCTCCAAGAATTTCACAATATTTTTTGCAAAATATTAAGAAAGATAGCAAAAATTGTAATTCTCTAAGAATTTCTTAATTTTTTTGCGAAATTCGAAGAGAAATCACAATTTTTTGCGACTCTTCAAGAGTTTCACAATATTTTTGCGAAATTTTAAAAGAAATTGCAAAAAATTGTGATTCTCCAAGGTTTTTGCAATTTTTTGTGAATTTCAAAGAGAAACTGCAAAAAATTGCGATTTTCTAAAAGTTTTGCTAAATTTTTGTGATTTTCTTAAAGAATTCACAAATTTTGCAATTCTCCAAAAGTTTTGCATATAATTAAATTGAACTTTCAGATTAATCTGAAATTATCAATTCAGTTCGGATTTTTTTTGATTTGAATTAGAATTATAATCCAAAAAAAATCTAAACTAAACCGAAAATTTTTAGATTGATTTTTATGCAATCCAAAACTGATCTGAACTGAACTGATCTAAAAAATCTTTGGATTAATCTGAACTGTTCAGAACTTTAATTTAAATAAATACTTAAAAGTACTTTACATTAATATAATTTAATAAAAAAAAATATTTTAATTTTTTTTTATTTCTTACTTATTAAAGATAATTTGATAATATTTTAACATAAATATTAATGATTTCAAACTTAAAAATTAAAATTTTTTCAATTTTTATTAAAATGTATAATTACGTGATTTGTTATTAGCCAATTACATAAAAAGCTCGCTATACAATCTAAGAATGTACAATAAATTTTAATGAATTTTATTAGATGAAAATTAATTTGTATAATATAATATTATATAATTTATTGTTTAGAGTGAAATAAAAGACAATATTAATGATGAGGGACGAAATTCCTTAATAACAGTCGAAACTTAGACGAAACTATATTAAAATCATAATAAGGGATATGACGAAATCCTTTTGATACGACGAAAGCCGAAACTGTTGAAACTATATTAAAAACATAGAAAAGGGTATGACGAAATTATTTTGAGAAGGTTTCGGCAGGCATCTA